AGGCTTATGATTGAAAAGAGCAATAGTACACATGCGCGAAGCCACCGTAAAGCACGGCAGGCTCACATGGAGAAGATGGTACGGAACGAAGATGCGTTTACACAGCGCTTTCGAACAGCCAAAGGGGTCCGGACTCGCTTTTTTTCGGTTTTGGGGCCGTAGCCGCCTATGGCCTCAAAACCAGAAAAAATCGAGTTCGGATCCATTTCATGAAAACATGGTACAGAAGGTTTACACGGCAAAAATATATGGTCCGTACCAACTTTAATTTTTATGGGTCCGGACCCACTTTTTTTCTGTAGTGTAAATGGGGCTAAAGATTCAAGAAACAAGACCTTGTAAAACATAAACTTCCCTGAAAAAAAATCCCCTAATAAGTCCTTACATTACGATTTTTCCTTCACATTTTTTGTAAAGTAACGAAGAGTCTGGGCCATATAAAGTTTTATTTGACAATTATCACTGTCTAAATCTGCGCCTGAAATCTAAATTCGAGAAAATGTGTATCCTCTTACTTAAGTCCGCGAAATTAAAATAGCACGAAAATTTAGCCGGAGCCGTACGCGTTAAGCTAAATTAAGCGCCAGTCTGTAGAGCGCGATGTCGCGGGTTCAAGGCCCGACCGAATCAATACAGAGGGGGGCATAGGAACTTTACTTACTAACGGGGTGTCCGTATTAAGTGTTTTGAATTTTGAGAAAATGTAAGGGCTAGGGACAAGGAAAACTGTCCGTAATAAGTGTCTGTTTTAATTAGGTGTCCGTAAAGCAAGTTAGTAATGTACTGTACTGTACTCAAGAGCGCTCAGTTTTATCTTTTTTCCTCTTTTGGAATGAATTAAACAGATTTCATTTAAAAAGATGCAGCCATCATACTTCAAATTTTAAAGACGGACTAAGTTGTGATTTTTTTGCTGCATCATTTTAACAGCTTTTAATGATTCCCCTTGTTTAGCTTACTCAGGCACATCTAACCTTGAAAATATGCATATTCTGATAAAATGCTATTTAGAACGGATTGCTTCTATCAATGATCCTGAAAATTGGCCCACTAATGTAGCTTAATGGCCTTAGCAATGAGACACTTCAAAAGCTCAAATTTTTGTCACGTGACTTATAAATTGAGAATTAACGGTCAAAATATTTACTCTAACTTGGGGAAAGGGTAATGAGAGAGCAACAAGTTCTTTTAGGTATATAAAATTCGCCTTGTATGTGTGTTTACCAGTTATATATGGATAGGTTACTAAAGGGAAAGGGGTCACGTGACTTTTTAATTAGTTAAATCGCTAAAAGGCTATAAAATAACGTTTCCAATCACGCAGAGCAAATTTACGTTTTCCACTGTTTATGTAACATTTTGGTGGTGAAAATTCCTAAAATTAAGGTTTGCAACACTTCCCCGTTTAGGAAAACGTGTTTTGTGACGTCATTGACGAAGCAATGTCACGTGTTATTTGAAATCATGTTTTACGTGTCTTTTTTGTTGAGCCACATTTGTAGTTTACTTTTCAGGATCACTTAATTAGACGATGACTCTCATAAACGTTGTCTAAACTTGGTTTAAATAACCGGCCCATTTATGGTCACGGCCAGTTTAAGAATTACGCAATATATGAAACCACATGTATTGAAATTGGGCCGCCAGTGCTTTACCTCGTATTGTGAGTGACAGGGGTCACACAATAACAACATCATCATCACGACTTTATAATCCTTCGTCTCAATCACCAGACTAATAAGCAGTAGGATAACATACAACAACACTGAGCTATAAATAAATACATTGGGCCGGTTATTTAAACCAAGTTTAGACAGCGTTTATGAAAGTCATCGTTTAACCCATGTTTAAACCATGAACTGTGACCGATTATTTAAACGCTGTTCTTCCGTAACCTTGTTTTGACCGTGTCTAAACACCAACTAAGGAACAATAGAAGTAGTTTTAAACCTTGTTCATGTTGTTTACAATGTAACGGTTTTTCATGGCCATCCATTTTGAAATGAATATCTGAAATAGACGGACTACTGGGCAACAATTTTGGAGGGCCCTCGAAAAATGCTGCACTCCTGACTATCCTTCTTTTCCGTCCTTTTTCGTGATATTTGCTTCTTTCTTTGGGATGACTTCAACATCACTAGCTTTTCCTCCACTAGTTTTTTTTTTGCAAATCGCGTTCTTTGGAAATGTCTCCTCGATGCTGCCATTAATAGTTTTTCGTCTTTGCTAAAATCAGTTGTTCGACCGGATTTTGAGACCATATTGAGTCAAAACTTCCAACAGGGAATTAAATGTGCATACAAATAACCCCACAAACAATGCATTTCCTTGTGAGAGTTTAGCCATTGACAGGAAAAAAACATGGCTCAGTCACGTTTT